ATAATAATAATAATAATAATAATAATAATAATAGCATCCAGTGATAATATCCCTGAGAAGGAACTGCTCAGACTCATCTCTCACCTTAAGTTGTCAGCCACGAAGATGACCCTCCTTTCCAGCAGGAGGGAGGCAAAGACCCGGATGGTGTGGGGCACACTCAGACACTGCAAGAGGCACTCGAAGTCCACGTGTTCCAGCCGCGAGTCCAAGGGGCGGCACAGCTCCATCACCTGAGAGGAGACACGTAGGGAGAGCTGGGGGAGAGCCCGGAGCAGGGACCCTCAGCCTGGAGCAGAGGGGTCAGGTCAGAGCTCACTGCGGGTTGCAGCTCCTCCTGAGGGGCAGGAGCAGGGACAGAAGCCAAGGAAATGGATGGAACCGTGTTAGGGAGGGTTAGGACGGGTCTCAGGGAAGGGTTGTTCTGTCCCCAGAGGGTGCTGGGCACTGCCCAGAGAATGGGCACAGACCCGAGGCTGCCAGAGTTCCAGGAGCGTTTGGACAGTGCTGCCAGGGATGCCCAGGGTGGGATTTGGGGTGTGTGTGCAGGGCCAGGGGTTGGACTGGGTGATCCTTGTGAGTCCCTTCCAGCTCAGGATATTCCCTGATTCCATGATTCTACATGGAACCCCGTGACCCAGACAGCTGGCATGGGGCAGCACAGAAGACTCCCCAGAAAGCAAGGAATCACTCCATGATTCCACACGATGATTCCACAGATGATTCCACAGAAAACAGATTTCTCAGACAGCCTCCCTCCCAACTTCAGGATGCTTTCTCCAGATTAATTATTTCCAGGCAGCACTGTGYAGTGGCCCCAGAGATCCCAGACAGCCCACCCTGACCCCATTACCTCATCCCCTGCTCCTGGCAGGAAGCTCCTGACGGTGATGGTGCGTCCTGGGGCRGGGAACGGTGCCTCCATCACGCTGCGCATGAAGGGGTGCACSAGGGCTGGGGACATCTCCCTCCTCTTCTCCACCTCATCCAGGATCTGCAGGGAAACACACGGGGCCTTGGGGCGCTTGCCCAGGGAGATGGGGCAGTCACCATCCCTGGGTGTGTTTAATAAAAGATTGGATGTGGATGTGGTGCTTGGTGCTGTGGTTTAGTTGAGGTGTCAGGGCATGGGTTGGACTCGAAGATCTTGAAGGTCTCTCCCAACCCTGGTGATTGTGTGATTGTGTGAATCTGTCAGAGCACTCTGGGCCATGCAGGAGGCTCCAGCACAGACCCACAGCCCTCTCCCCCCTCGCTTGGGACCCTGTGAAATTCATCCCAAATGTCTGAAMAATCAAACAGGAACAGCTTCCTGTGAGCACAACTCTCCATTCTCCAGCCTCTGCTACTGGAAGGAAACGTCTCCTGTATAGTAATTAAATTCTCATTATTTACAGGAGCAAGAGGAACAACACCCCATCCCCCTTGTCAAGAAACCTCCCTGAAACACCCTTCTAGAAACYCCAACAACCAGAACCACCTTCCATCAAAGCTTGTCCCTGTATTCTGCAATAGCTGCCCTTTACTGCAGCAGTAAACCTACACCTTCACCTCCTTATCTCCCCTCCTCACTGTGCTATGAGAAACCAGGTGAGCTCCAAACCAATTTTCCATTTCCAGGTCATGGAAGAAGAGGATGAAAGAGCACCYTGAGCACTCCCAGCTGTCAGAAGCCCCTTGCTGGCAGTACTTGCTGACAGATCCGTGTGCTGGCTCACACATTTCAGCACTGCTATTTTATTTCCCCTCTCAAAGCGAAGGCATTGAGGAAGCCCCGCTCTCTGGGGATGAGCTGCAATCACTCAGCCTGACAGAAGCAGCCAGTCCCTTCATGGAACCTGCTCCAGGGACACAGGGCTGTGCCAGCTCACCTTGGAGAAGAGGTTGAAGCAGCCCAGGCGGCTCACGATGCAGTACACCTCGGGCAGGCGCTTCCCTTTCCCTTCTGGCTGAAAGGCAACAGCGACAGCTCTGCTGAGAACAGGGGGTTGAGGCACAGCCCAGCCCCTGCACTGCAGCTGAGCTGCACAATTCCTTCTCCTGCAGTCCCCCTGCACTTATGGCCACAAAACTTCTCCAGGAACCCCCAGTTCCAGGAGCTGGTTCATGCCCAGAGCCCATTTCAGTGTTTCTGGGTACAGCTGTGACCCTTCCCTCTGCATCCCAAGGGTTGGCACTGATGCCTCAAACAGGGCTTACTGAAACAGAGGCCAAAGTGAGGAGAATAAAAGCTGACAAATTTAATCCAGGCCTACAGGTACATTGAGGGCAGACAAAGCCTCCTCATGAGGCTRCACCCAAAATGGACCCCAAGTCATGAGATCTTCACCTTTTATCAGTTCTGTCTCATGAACATATCAGGCCTGAATTCTCCAGTGACACCTTCAGGTGATGATGTCAACCACCCCAAGCTTGCTCCCCACAATTCACTGTTGTTTACAGATTTTAGGGCTCTGAGGCAGTGAAGCACCCTTGGATTTTCCAGTTTAGAGCAATGTTTTGTCTAAAACACTGGGAGCAGAGATTTTTACCACTTTATGAAGCTCAGAACTACACACCAAAACTCATATACATGAATAGAAGCTAAAAATTCTTAAGGCATCAGTACCACCGCAGCAGCACAGGCTGGGAAACCCAGGTGGGACAGCAGCCCTGACAGCTGACAGTGCCCACCCTGGGCTCTCTGTGCCCCCCAACCCTCAAAGAGCTGCTCACCAGGAGCTTCCTGCAGTACCCGAACCAGCGGCTGCCATCCTCACCCGTCAGCACGAAGGAAAAGGTTTCACTGGGGGAGCAAAGCAGACTCAGGGTTAAATTCAAACAAACTCCTTCTGGTCAGGCTGCCAAGGGCCAAGGCATGATTACAAGGATTTTGGGCTCTGTTCAGGGTAAGAACCTGCATGCCATGAGCTTTTCCATCTCTTCCCCTTCCCAGCTGCTCTCACTGAGCTTTTCCATCTCTCCCCCTTCCCAGCTGCTTCTCCATTCAGCCAAGGAGCAGGAGAAGCACTTCCAGCCCTGGGAGCTGGCCTTGGACAAATTCTTCCTCCTCAGGAAAGGCAGAAGCAGCCWTCTGAGCCCACCTCCCTCCTCATCTTCCCCAGGCACAGGGGATTCATCCTTTTCCCTTTTCCCTTTTCCCTTGCTCTGGCTGCAGCTCCTCTGGCACACCCCAAAGCTTTCAGCACTGCCTGTTTCACTCACGAGCAAACCAAACAACTTCACTCACAATCAAACCCAAATCTTTACCTTTTAAGGTCTGATGAAGGGAACCAGTCTTTGGGATCAGGAAAGCAGAATTTGGGAATGACCTTTAGCCTCTCTTCAGTGTCCTTTGACGGTCTGAAGGGATGTTCAGGCTGGAGGGGTAACACATGCATTTGAAGTAACTGAGATTGGTGAATTTAAAATACAAAAAGCATTTAAAGTACAAAAAGCATCTTCCTGACCCTTCCAAAGCTGATCCAGCAGGTACAGGAGAACATGTTCTGACTGTCAGCARGTTCTCAGATCCCTCCTGCATTTTTCCTGCTGATTGGACCTTTGTAAAATGACCCAGCTGGCCTTGGTAAGGATGGAGCAAGGATCTACAAGCATGGACAAATTTATTGGGGAACAGAGCTAGAACTGACCCCCCAAATGATGGCTGGGTCAGCCTGCCTTGGTTCTACCCCTAGGAGATTTGAAAACACTGAGAGAAACAGGAATGTGCTCAGCTTTTGATATGCAGGTCACTCATAATTTGAGTGCAAAAATGGTGTCTCTGCATCACATGTTCCAGCCACGCCACATGTAGGTTCAAACCAAATCCCTCAAGGACCACAGGGCACTTCCCATGCACAAAACTRCCCAGAAAAGGCAAAAGGAAGGTGYTCAAAAAGAGTTTCAGWAAGAAAWTTAAGGAATTTTTACACATTTAAGTAGGAAATGCCCCCGAGAAGTGGAAGGTTTGTTGCATGAAGTTGATTTTAGGCACTCAGCACAGCCAGGCTATTCCARTGTCCCAAGCTGTGACAGCACGAAGTGTTAGGAAAACAGAACAGCATTTTCACAGAGTAACAGTTGTACAAAAGCTTAGATGTCCTTGGGCACAGAGCCCAGAGAAGAGGGTGACAGCAGATTACTGGGAAGCAAGGCTAATATTAGAAGGGAGACACCCAATCTGTCCCACCTCAAGACACTCACCAAAACACTTTGCATTCAAGCAGGGGATAAATAAATACTGAGAAAATAATCTGTTGTGTCAGTCAGTGCCTTGATAAAAACCAGTGATGAGCAGGAGGGGAGCCCTGCAGTGCCCTTYCCAAAGGCAATGGACAGATTGAGAGGCTGCACCAGGGAAAAGCCAAATCTGCTGCATTCTTTTCTTCCTCCCAACACCCTCAAGTTTGCACTTTCAACAGCTATTATTTGGGTGTGTTCAGTTTTCAATTAACACCCTGCACTCTTTCTGGCTGTAGCTCCTTATTCATCTTGTCCATCCAAAGCACTGACACATTCAAGAGTGTGCTGGAGCTGTTTGCACAGAAATTCTTTAGGCAGCAGGATTTGGGACACTGTGGGATCTGCTGGGGTCCCACACAAACTTCCTGAATGAATCTGGCATCCCCTCTGTGTGGATGACATGCAGATTTCTCAATAATCCCTGCCTTTCTCCTGCTGGCACAGCCAGAATTCCAAGCTTTGCTGTGTTTTCAGTGGAAGGCAGCAGGTACAAGCCTAGACAGTGACAATTTAATATTCATCTCAATCTGGCACCACAGAAGCACCAAGGCTCCATCTCAGCTTCCCAGCTGTGGGCACTGAGCTGTAACTCAGAGTCACTCACTGATTTTGTCACCCCTTTGTGCTCAACACTTTCTTTCAGAGATTTTGGTGTAGCTAYAGCACCTGAACTCCCACAGCTCTCCCAGTTTGGGGGCTGACACACACAGCTTTGATATTTTGTTGTTATTCCTGGTCAAAACAGTGTAAACAAAATAAAATTATATTGTTATTCTTGGTCAAAACAGTGTAAATAAAATTATATTGTTATTCTTGGTGTAAGTAAAAGCCAACTGAGATGCCAGTTCCTGTGCACGGTGAATGTTTCACTGTTCATAAGTGACAGACTTCGCCTCCTTCAGCAGGTATCAAGTACCCTGTGCCTTCATGAAATTTGAATTAAGTAGGAGCCTTCCTAGTTCAAAAACCTAAATAAACACTAAACAAACTAAAAACAATAAACTAATTATCAAGAAACATATTCAACAACCTCCCAACATTAGGTCCAACACCTCACATCAGGTCTGTAGCAGAGCAAGGTGCTTCYCACTCCAATCATATCCTGACCAGTGGGGTTTAGGAAGCAAACACAGCTGAGCAGCTCCCTGGGCAGATTTCCAGGCAGGTCCTACCTTGCTGGGGAACTGCTGGATGATGTGAGGGGTGTAGGTGACCTCGGATGCCTTCTTGTGCAGGGACACCACCACGAAGAGCTCGAAGAGCCGCTGCTCCTGCAGCTCGATGAGATCCCTCTCCAAGGTCTGGTAGTGTGGGTTCCTCTTGGAGGCCGAGCGCCTCAGGCACCTGTGGCGACCTGGGGACAGCAATAAATGTCAAAGCAGCCCGTGGCTGGCACTGCCACACACCTGCAGGGCACAGATGAGCACTCAGATCCCTGTCAGAGGGAAAAGGGATGGGTGGATTTGCCCAAATCCTGCTGCTCTCCACAGAATAAGGGACGCCTGTGTCAGCTCCTCACACACAGAGCTGCTCTTCTTTCCTGTCTCTGCTGTCCCAGAGACAGCAGCAGAGGAAATGGCTCAGCTTCCACTAGGGGAAGTTTAGATTGGATATCAGGGACAATTTCTTTGGTAAACATTGAACAGGCTGCCCAGGGCAGYGTGGAGGCACTCCAGGCATCCCTGRAGGYGTTTAAAAAGCRTGTGGATGTGRCAYTTGGGGACGTGGTGGTGGTGTTGGGTTGATGATTGGATTTGGTGATCTTAGAGGCCTCTCCCAACCTTCCCAGTTCCAGGATTCTATGATTCACAGGCAGCACTGGCCTTGCAGCAGCTCTGCAAACCCCTCCTGATGGATATTGAAGTTTGTCCTGTTGCCCTGATGTCCTTCCACACATCCCAGTGACASAGTGTGGTACCAGGGAGGGAAGCCCAGCTCCAGCAGGGTCAGGAGTGCCAGGACCAGGGAGCCACCCCAAACACCACTCAGGAGAGGCAGAGGCAGCTCCCTGGCCAAGAACCCCCCAGGCTGGGCCATCCTGACAGGCAGCACAGCCTCACAAGCACAGGCACAGCACTCTGACGTCAGGAATTCCTGTGGCCYAGGCACCCTGACACATTCCAGACACTTTCAAACAACTCTTCAATCAGGCAGTGACTCAATCACTCTGTTTCCGCTGAGATTCTTCACTCTCCTCTACTTGACATTAAAAAATTGAACTTCACTTTTCATTCCAAGTTAATGTTTCACTCCATGTAAATTAAACACCTGAAATAATTCATAGAATCCTTGAAYRGTTTGGGTTGAAGGGACCTTAAAGCYCATCCMATTCCACCCCAGYCATGGGCAGGGACACCTTCCACTGTCCCAGGSTGYTCCAARCCCCRTCCAGCCTGGCCTTGGACACTTCCAGGGATGGGGCAGCCACAGCTTCTCTGGGCACCCTGTGCCAGATCCTTCGGTTTAATCTGAATTCACATGGAAGTTAAACCACCTAAAAACAAGCAGGGGTTTCAGGTCTGTAGTTTRGGTCTATGATCGAGCTCAGGACATTGGGATCAGACAAACAGCCAGGTGAATTCCCCCCAGAGGAAAGGACATTTCACAGCATCACATGAAACAGCACCGAGGGGAGGAATTAGGGAGGAAATAACCCCAAGCTGCAGCAGCAAAGGTGATCAGGGACAGCCTCCCACCAGACATGTTTTAGTTAAGTGTGACTCTACCAACCAAAAATGAATCTGCTTCTGGTGACTGGCAGATAAATGACATTAAACCTCAAGGGTTTGGGTAAGTGACAGAAACAGAGTTTGATTTGTCACAGCAACAGTGACAAATTTAAAATACAAAAAGCATCTTCCTGACCCTTCCAAAAGCTGATCCATCAGGTACAGGAGAATATGTTTTGACTGTCAGCAGATTCCCAGATCCCTCCTGCATTTTTCCTGCTGATTGGACCTTTGTAAAATGACCCAGCTGGCCTTGGTAAGGATGGMGTAAGGATCTACAAACATGGCTTTGTAAATTTACTGGGGAACAAAGCTACAACTGATCCCCCAAATRATGGCTGGGTCAGCCTGCCTTGGCTCTACCCCTAGATTTGAAAAAACAGGCTCCCTGTCCCTGTCTCAGCAGATCCCCACACGTCAGCATGCTCATCCCACCACAGCCTGAGCCAAGGGTGCAGCGCTGTGGGCACAGCACCAGCCCCTGTGATTCACTCACTTTTGGGCTGATTTTCCGTATCGCTCTCATTCCCGCTGGTTTCACCTGAAACACACATGGTTTTCACTTGTTAGCCACGCAGAAGGAAGACGGGCAACACCCAGAGTTGGGAAAGAGACAGARCCTGACACTCATCAGATCAGCATCCCTGGGGCTGCCCACCGATCCTGCCCAAAGGACAGCTGGGAAATGTGTCACAACAGCAAATKGCAAAAAGCAGAGCTGATATCAGCCATGCTGTCAGTGAGTGACCTGCAGGTCAGCTGGACACAGGCAAAGAACACAAACTAGATTTGTTTGGTGCTGCTGTAACAGAATATAGGGAAAATAAAGACCAAAYGTTGGGKACACAACCAGAACAAGRCACACAAATGATGAGTGCAGTAGTCACAAGTAGTTTTCTGAGGAATTTTTGGCTTTAATATGCTTTTTTTTGAAAAAGCACTTTTAACCCCTAGACCAGCTCTCCAGGCTCAGAATATTACACTTGTGACAGTGCTAAACTTGAGTTAGGCACATTTTCCTAATCCTAGTATTTCCTAACCCTAGTGATGCTGAAAGCTCAGTTCCAGCCCCAAATCTGGGGTTTTGCACTGCTGTATCAGCTTGAGATGCTGGTGCCAGCCAGGGTGAGCAGGAATTGTGCCACTCAGGGTGCTCAGAGCACAGAAGTGCTGCTGGGGATCCCAGTACCTTTCACTGGAGCTGCTTCTCTCCCAGCAGGACTGAGCAGCTTCACCTTCCTCCTTCCACGTTTGGAATCAAAGATCTCCTGTATTTTCAGGACCAGCTGAAATCCAAAGGAGAAGCAGAGGTTAATGGAGGGGATCCAGGGAAGGGTCAAGGTGCCAACAGGACCTCACAGCCACCACCCTGCATTTGGGAAAAGCTGCCCAAATCTTGCAGGAACCTGGCTCAGAGGCTGAAGCCCTTCTAGCCCAGCTCACTGGGTAAAGCAGGAGCACAGATTTCTGCTGCAGCACAGGGATCACTGTCAGCACAGCTCCAAGCTGCACCAGACTGCACAAGCATTCTGGAAATTGTCACACATGCCTTCCCAAATAGCACAAGTGACAAACTGTCTGGCATCAGAGCTCCATTTTCTATGCAAAGACACTCGCAAGAACATCTCACAAACCCTCCACCACCACAGAGGGCTCAGAACACTCTCTCCAGCATCCCAAATTCCTCAGAAAAAGCAGATTTCTCTCCCTGCAGCTTGAGGGTTGGGTTTTGAGTGGGTTTTTAAGTTTGTTGCTGTAGTTGATGTCAGCTCAGGTCCCCTAAAGCACAAAGGAGGCACAAAATAAGGCTGCTCCAAGCACAGTCCCTATTCCAGGAGTTTGCTGGAATTAAAAGATGATGTCCTTGCAGCATCTGTCTGCCCAGTGGGAGGCTGGGGGTGGAATGAGGTGGGATTTAAGGTCCYTTCCACCCAAACCATGCTGTRGTTTCACACAGATGAAGACAGAAAAGTGGGTCTGTGCTGCAGTTCCAGCAGCATCCAGTTCCAGTGGTCATTATTCCCATTCTAGATTCTTCACATTAATAACAAACTAGAAGAAAAAAGTTGGAAAAAAAGCACAGCCCAGTGCAGACTGAGCAACAGAAGGACAGAAGGGTCAGCATTTCACAACCTGAGTTGATGCTGGTCGCAACAGCTCCAAACCCAAAGCCCTGACACTTTCTGTGTCCCTGTCACAGCTTTCCCCTCACCTGCCAATGCCTCAGGGGCTCCTCACACCCCACATCAAAGGCGGCTTTGCCTCATGTGCAGAGGGATTTACCCTGAATGAAGAGAGCAGGTCAAGTTCATTCCTGCTCAAGAATTCATTAAACTGAACGTAGGAGGGTGGGGCCCAGCCATTTGTCATCACAAATACTGCATAAAAAGAAATATATTAAACAGAACCTGTTTGTTCAGCTCAAGCCTTTAATCCCCAGAGCAGCAAACCAGGCTTAGGATCTCCTTTTCCAATCGATTTCTCCCCATTTTCTGCCTCAACCAGCTCTCCCAGCACGAGAAGGCTGCAGGGAATGAGCAGGGCTTCCCCTGCCAAATCTGCCTTCCTTCGCTTTTTATCCAGCCTTACCTACAGGATCTTCATTTCTGCTTTGATTTTTGTGCAGCTGAGTCACCACCYTGGGTGTGTTTAAGGCAGCCATGTGTTTCTTAAGGAAAAAGTAAGTTTTGTCTTTTCAGACCCCAGTCCTTTTCTCAATCTCTGGAGCCATCTTGGCTCAATTCCTCCTGAGCAAAGGGAGAAAAGTGCTCTTCCTGCATCTAAATTGTTACCAGATTTTTGGAACAGGTTTGCTTTTGGAGAACATTCTATTTTCCCTCTCCAAATCAAAGATACTCTCCATCACAGCATTTTTATAATCTTGACATCTCCTTCCTGATTTTCCAGACCCAGGGTTTGTTTAAAAACACAGACAGGAGTTACTGGATACTCCAAAGCACTTTTAAAGATTTGAAAAGTCCTTTGCAGCTGCCCAACTCTACCTCAGAGTCTTGTGCAATCTGAGCAAATACACGTGATTTTCACATCAAACAAAGACCTGCAGAAGTCTGAATGATGCAGAGTCTGCAGAAATTATTTTACCACAGCAAAAATAAGCCCTTGTGACTACCACAGCTGGAATTTGAGTCCCGTGCACAAAGTGCCRCCACAGTGGCAGCTGCAGCTGCCCTTCTACACCTTTTATCACTGAGGGATGTGAGGTGGTGACCAAAAAAAGGATCCAGAAAGGTTCCCGAGGCACCAAATGAGGATTAGAACAGTTCTGTCTGTGAAGGAGGATTAAAAATCTTCCTCACCCCTCTGACCTCAGCAAAATAATTGTTTTTGCAGCCAGGCAGGAGGGAGAGGCCAAAGGGGACAGTTGAATGGAAGCTTTGTGAAATGCTCTCATCCCTCAGAGCTCCTCTTCACCTCCAAACTGTAAAACAGCTGCTCCTGATGCCAGAACTCCAAGCCAACATTGCAAGGGTCCCCCAACCTTTCCACAGCTCAGGGCCTGCAGTGGAGCACCAGGATCAGGCTGGGAAGTCACTGGGAGCAGGGAACACGTGCACCCAGCCTTGCAGAGCTGCCCCTTTGGCTCCCCAGCAGCACAGACTCCATGGAAACCACCACACATTCCATGGAAACACTGGRAACAAGGCTGAGGTGACAAAGCACGAGGAAGGGCTTGGGCTCACACCCAGCCCYGACCTCCAGGCCAACACTGAGCACTTTGTCTGCCCATTCCTGGCCAACAAAAACACCGCTGTCCCAGCCAGAACTGGCACTCAGACCCCTAAACACCAGCCCTGCCACTTGCAGAGGGAATGAATGGCTGCAGCAGCAGTGCCAAGCAGMATCGAGTCCTGTGCACAAAGTGCCACCACAGTGGCAGCTGCAGCTGCCCTTCCTCAGCCCATGGTGCCTTTTGTCACTGAGGGATGTGAGCTGGTGACCAACACAAGGATCCAGAAAGGCACCAAATAAGAATTAGAACAATTCTGCCTGTGAAGGTGGGCAGGCACTGTTCTGTGGTTGCTCTATGGCCCCCACAAAGCAGCCAGAGCTTGAAATGCCAGGCAAGAAGTGAAGTTTCCCACTTCAGTCTCACCCAGGGCAGGTTCTTTTTCCTGCTCGCAGCCTCCACTGCTCGGAACAGCTTCCATTCAGACAGGGTGACAGGCAGGGAGGTGTCCTTCCCCATCTTCCCTTGGAAACATGTCTGGGGGGGTTTCAGATCCAGCGTCTTGCGGCTGAGGAAGGGAGGTTTGGGRGGAGGCTGGAAAACAGAAGCAGGAGAGATAGCGAGGTGTGAGATGGARCTTTGGGCCAAGGTCACAGGCAGGGGAGTCAGGTTACAGCTGGGAAATCTGCCCTGCCAAACACTCCATCCCACTCTAGCACCTCACCAACACCCTCCTGGTCCTGCTCTTTGACTCCTTAGCAGCTTCATCAACTGCCATGGCTGTTCATTMTTCACATGAGAGATTATTTACATTAATAACAAACAATAAAAAATTAGGAAAACCAAGGAGTTGCAGTGGGGAATGTGAGGCTGGGGGGAAAGCACCAATGAGGGCCGTTGTGAGAATGATCCTGTAAACCCCTGACCCTTTAATGCCCCAACCCTACCTTGGGAGCCCTGCTGATGCTCCGGGGAGGGGGCAGCTTCCAGACTGATGGGACCTTCCACAGGGGYAAGGGCAGTGCTCTGATATCTTCATAATGATTCTCTTTTGCAGGACCTGCAGAAAGCATTGCATGGGGGATTTATGAGAGGAGATAAAGCCCTGTATGTTTGCCAGGGATATAAATGGGGAGAGGGTGAAGTTTTCTRCCAAGCTTTAATGGAGTCTGAGAGACCTGTGGAGGTTCCCACCACATCCTTCCAACCCACTGCCATCAGCTTGGCAAACTGCACACAGACTCAGCAAAACAAACTCCTTCTACCCCTGCAGAGCAAGCAGCTCCATGGCAAAGCAGCTCCTTTGGCAGTGCTCACACTGATCTCTGTGCAGCGCTCAAGCASAGCATTCCAAGAGCTAATAAAGAAATCAGTTCAGCACAGGCCAACTGCAGTGACCTCCCATGACATCTGAAATCAGGCTGTTCGCGTGCAGATCTCACTGACACCAACAAAGAACCCCAGATGGGAAAGACCTTAAAAATCCCAGAGCTGGAAAGGGCCTCRAAGCATCGTCACCTTCACTCCTCCCTCCCCAGACCAAGTGCCACCCCTAAACATAGGGAGGGCATCCCCAGGAGCACGGGCACGTACAGATGATGTCCTCGTAGATGTTGTCCTCTGACTGAGTGTAGACAAGCCTGGATCCTGCAGTGCCATTTGTCTCCTCCCGAGGTCTGTGGGAGCTGCTGGCTGCCGGCCGCTTGCGGAAGCCCTGGATGTCCTCAAACTCAAAAGATTTCCTAGAGGAAAACCAGTGTAACTTCTCCTAAAGGCACCTGCTTGAGCTGCTGTCTCCAGCACTCCCTGGGAGCATCCAGTACACAGATGCTGCCTTCTGGCCCCGCATTTCCAAGCATTGAGCTCTGACCCTAGGCAGCAGCTTGGCCCCTCGCTCCCACCCCGCGGGATGGGGAAGGAAATCAGAGGGGAAAAGAGAGGAAACATGTGYATGGGTYGAGATGAAGGCAGTTTGGAAGGTGAAGCAAAAGCTGCACAAGCAAGGAAAGCAAAACAAGGGATTCATTCCCCATTTCCCTCAGCAGCAGCTGTTCAACCACCCCAGGGGCTCCATCGTGCGCAGCGGTGACTTGGGAACACAAACACCACAACTCCAAATTGCGTTTGTGTACACCTCCCCTTCCTGCTTCTTCCCCCATTTTTACTGCGGAGCACACCATCACATGGTCTGGAACATCCCTGAGGTCAGCTRGGCTCAGCTCTCCCTGCTGTGTCCCCTCCCAGCTGCTGCTTTATCAATATTCTCACCACAACCCCAAACCACACAAGATGCCAAGAAGAAAACGACCCCAGTCAAAGCCAGCACACCAAGTGAGCCCTGCTCACTTACTTGGAGAGATTTGCAAGTTAAAAAGGGAGAGCTGGAGGCTCCATGGCCATGCACACTCCATGGCCAGACCTGCCCTGTCAAAGGCAAGAACCCAAACCACATTTTGCAGACTTTCAGCAGCTCAGAACCAGGGCATTGCATCCTACAGAGCCTCTCCCACTCATGCTCAGGGTGCTCATGCAGCTGAGTTGGCATTTCCGGACACTTGGCCATGATTTTGAAATTAGGGGCCAGAGGTCACACAAGAACTGCAGGGATTTAGCTCATCATCATCATCATCATCATCAAATTTGGGTTTTTGCTGTACAGAGTGGGAAGTTTCAGGACCTCGAGCCACATTTTTGCTGGCACTTTGCACACCAGCCAAGAGCAGGCAGCTCACCTGTGAGCAGGATTTGTATCAGGCCACCTCAGGAGGGTATGGGAAAGAGGGAAAACCAGCMAAACTTCCTGCACCAGCAGCACCCRCAGCCTCCAGCCTTAAGCAGCGAGAGAATCCTTCGCTCCCAGGAAAGCCACAACACCCAGCAGCCACAGTGCCCCAAGAGAAAGTGACTGCCATCCACAAATTGCAGCTGAGGGCAAGCAGCAGGCAGGAAGCACACAGGGAGCAGGCAGGGAGCACACAGGGAGCAGGCAGGTCTCTCCCTGGGGCCAGCTGCTGTCACTCCCCTCTGTTCCAAGGTGTGGGCTGATATCTGCCTGGAGCCTTCTTTGCAAGATTGCCAGCAGCAAAAGCAGAGCGGAAAAGGAGATCCTTTCACCCAGGAATATCCCTTCCCCGTGAACAGAGGCATCATCACTAGCACCTCCACGAGCATATCACGGCAAGCAGCTGCTTAAACCATCTAAGAACTGCTTTAGGGAAACATGTCAGACATGAGGGATGAACTATGTACCTCTGGGCTCTCCCTCTGATCMTCCTGCTGGCCATTTTCTTCTCGGGGCTGTTGGAGGATGACGCCAGGTCCCTTCCACGCTGCTTTWGCAGGGGAGCTTCCCTGGTGGCATCTCTGCACCCAGCAGCACCTTTTTCTGCCAGGTAGCGGAAAGTCCTGCGGGGTTTGGGTGGTGGGTCAGGAGGTCCCTCCTCCTCTCGCCCCTCAACCTCAGAGTAAACGTTTCTCAAGCTCCTCTCCGCCCTGCAGAGAGGGTCCACTGCTCTGATTTGCAGTTCTCTTTCCGTGGAGCCAGAGCTGCCTTGCTTCCTCTGCAGGTCTGAGGGAGCAGGAGGGGCTCTGCCAGGCAGGAGGGGATCTGCTCTCCTCCATGCAGCTTGTGAGGTATAGAAGTTCCCCGGGGGCAGTGTCACCCCTGGGGCCAGGGTCACCCCTGGGGCCAGGGTTTGCCCCTCTCCTTTCTCCTTGGCTGGGGAAGATGGGCCACCACAGCCCCCGGCGTGGCAGCAGTTCCGTGCATCTTCCCTGAAATCCAACCCCAGGCTCTTTGGGTCCTTGGACCCGGCCTTTCTGCCATTCTCTGTGCATTCTGCCTTCACATTGGGCAGTGCATTGCAGCTGGGATCGTACTTCACTCCAAAGTCCTTCAGCTGCTCCTTCTCCCTGCTGGGGCAGCTCCTTGTCCTGCCCTCCCACTGCGAGATTTTCTGCTTGATGTTGCGGCAGTGGCTGCGGGACAGGGTGTGCACGGCCGAGCGTGAGAAGTTGCTGTCCCCTGAGCCTGTGGGGTGCATGGCCGGGGCCAGAGCGCTCACACACAGCCCATGGCCAGTGCTGGCCACGTCCCCCCGGCTCCTGCAGGCATTAAAGCTGGCACAGCACTCCAAAGTGCCCGGTGGCACAGAGGAGAGTCCAGGCTGGCTGTTCTGACCTGTGGGTAGAAACAAGAGCCATGAGCGGCACCCCAGCCACGCTCCCCACCTCAAGCTCAGCTCCCAGCTGCTCCTGGCAGCTGCTGCAGGACATTCCTCCCCAAATCACACCAAGCACGTGCTCAGGATGGGCTTCCAGAGCTGGCTCCCCACAAAAGCTGTTTGTGCACACAGCTGGGAGGGAGGATGGAAGGGAGAAGAGGCTTCACCGGCTTAAAAAAACAAACACAACGGGAACAGAACACCCGGAGGGATCCCAAGCATCCAAACTCAAGGAAATTATTTAATTGCAGAGGAACACAGAAGCGTGGATGTCAGCCAGCCCTTCTGCAGCAGGGCAGCTCCTCCTGATGCTCAGGCAGCACGGAGAMAAATCCCYGTGGCACCTGAGCTCCCCACTCAGYAGGGACACAGCAGCACACGAGGCTCCAGGGCAGATCTACCAAAAAGGAACCACATCTCCTTCTCCAGAGAGGAGCTGCTGCTCCAYACAGGACGTGAAGAGCTGTGGAGGCTGGGGAAAGCCCAACTCTGGGAGTGCATTCTCCTCCCAAAAGTGTTCCCTTGCTCCACAACACAAGTGGAAACCTGCCCAGTGCTCTGTTTGTCAACATCTGACCTAAATTTGCCATCTAAGAGACTGGAGGGCAGTGGTGCCTGGCCTGTGGCTTGCAGCCAGCAGAGTTTCAAAAGGCAGAAGAAACAGGTGAGTTCTCATCTTCAGGAGAAAAATCGCACCGTGTTTAGATCAGCAGAGAAGGAATGCTGGAGAAACATTCTGGCTTTTCTGACCAAAGCAGAGGCTACACAAACAGGAGCTGGGCTCTTTGAGAATTCCCCTATGTGCAGACCAGAGGATACAGCACGCATCCTCCAGAAAGGCCAGCAAGGAATGCAGGAGAAACCAGCAGGGAGAACTGGGGTAGCTGTACAGACCCAGCACCAGCATGGTGGTCCAGCATGGCCTCAGAACAGAYATTTCATGTGTGGAATCCTCAGCCTTGGAGCCCTTTGGCCCCACCTGTAGCTTTTAAGGCATCCCCAATATTCCCAGATACACCAGCACAGATGAAAACCCACCCTGGACAGAAGACAGAAGCCCATAGGCTCTAACAAGCTCTGTTCCTCCCTTTCTCCAGGCAATTATCCCATTTCAGAAGTTAAAACCCCTCAGCTGTACTTAACAACCTCTATCTGTAACAGGAGATGAGCCAGCTCTTGGGGCCACACTGGCTTTGGTGACATTTTCCTGGCACCAAGAAGTGCCCCTGCCAAAGGGGGCAGGAAATGGCACTACCCCACACAGGAACAGAAGCACAGGATCTGTGCAAAAGGCAGCCACACTCGCTCCAGGTGAGAGCAGGGCACACCAAACCTGTGCTCAGGCTCCAGCTGACAGTCAGGCAGCTCCCACTGCCACCCTGGGCACGTGTCCTCCGCAGCCACCGCCACCACACCCGGCCAGCACTGAGTCACCAGAGCCTGGCACAGCGGGCAGAGCCAGGGATGGGCAGCAAACCAAGCTGGGAGGCAGAGGAGCTGAAACCTGCCTGGCAAGGGGTCACGGACCACTGTCCAGGCTGGGTGTGGAGAGCTCCCACCACATCATGCCCATATCCTTCCCACTGCTGGCACCACACCTCAAATTCCAGGGCTTGGGGCTATCCCTGGAGCTGCTGATCTGCTGGGCAGAGCCCAATTAAAAGCCAAGCACCGGCCTTGGAAGATTTACATGATAGCGGTGAGAAAGCTCACTGGTCSAGGACATGCCAGGGCTCCCCGGGCAGGGCAGGGATAGTTTGGGCACAGCTGACACCAAGCCCTGGCTCTGTGCTTTGCTCTCCCCCTCGGCCAGAGCAGCACTGTCACTGTAGGAAGCAGCTCCCTGTCTCCACAGGGTTCCTGCAGGATGGAATTGCTCATCCCATTGTCCCAGGACARCTGCTGGTGCCTCTCCTGCTCAGCAGTGAACAGAATAAACTTGGACACTCTGGGTAAGCACCGAGCTGGGCATATTTCTCTATTACCAGCCCTCATCAGCATTCCAGCCTGTCCTCAATGCTTCCGTAGCTGCTGGAGACCCTCTTCCCGCCCCAGCGAGGGGCCCCTGCCCTCTCCTATAAATAGGCACTGCTGCCAAAACATCCTGAGCCCGAGCAGGGCCATCCTTCCTCAGGCYGTGTCTGCACAGCCCTGATTAGCAGCAGCAGGAAAGCAGCTCTCCCCTGTGCTGTGCCACCCGTGCCCCAGGACGCTGAGAGGGCCAGGCTGGCAAAGGACAGGCTCTGCTGGGGACAGCCAGGTGAGGAGAGGGGTTCAACAGCCTCCCCAGGCACTGCAGCTGCACACCAGGCTCCCCCAGGGCTGCCAGGGCTTCAAATGTGGCATTGCTGGGCTGGCACAGGGGCAGGAAGATGAAGGACCCCGAGGTGAAGAGTTTGTCCACAGCACTGAACAAGCCACAGCTCCTTTGATTCCCAACAGCACTGGCTGCTTTCTCCTCCAAACACTGCAGCTGGGAGCTCCTCTGGGAGCTGAGAATCATGGAATGTGCTCGGAAGGAACCTGCAAGGATTATCCAGTCCAACTCCAGGCCCTGCACAGACACCCCACAGTCCCACCCTGAGAGTGCTGYTCAAACTCTCCTGGAGTTYTGCAGCCTCCRGGCCGTGCCCATTCCCTGGGGAGTGCCCAGCACCTTCTGGGGGAAGAACCTTTTTCCTGATACCCAACRTCCATGAGGACAAATCACTGCACAGAGGAGGCAGAGGAGCCCTGCACAGCTTTCCAGGMGGCTCCATCCTGGCTGTGCCCAAGCTGGGCAGCTCTGCTGGCTGCCAGACCCCAACACATCCTGTCCTTCCTGCCACAGCTCACCCTGGGAAAACTGCAACAAAACCAGCCTGGGCTCAGCTTCCTCAGCCAGACAGACACAGCTCTGCTTCCTCCCACCCAGCCATGGCCCAATCCAAGCCCTCTCACACTGCCCACATCCATGCTCCCATGGTGAGGCAATACCGGGAGCTGAGAAATGTGGAGAAGCGTAGCACTGGCCAGCACATGGATTCCCAGAATAGTTTGGGTTAAAAGGGACCTTAAAACTCATTCAGWTCCACCCCTGCCATGGGCAAGGACACCTTCCACTGCCCCAGGTTGYTCCAAGCTCCATCCAGCCTGGCCTTGAACATGCAGGAATGGGATCCACAGACAGTCAAGCACAAGTTTAAAGATTCTCCCCTGCTCAGYGCTGCTCCCTGGACTGTCTCTTCCAAAATATCCATCCAAGGAGGAGAGGAATGCARCTTTTCACCTGCCCAGGCTTGCTATCAAGAACCAGGTGTTTCAGCTCATCACATGAGCCCAGGCTAGGGTAGAGACTGATCTTTGGTAAAGAAAGAACACACTAGGGTGGTGTGATCCAAGTTAAGTAACCCTTAAATGCGGTCCAGGACTGGCTAAAACACAGTTCAGGGACACAGAGCTGGCAGAGACCACCCAGGTCAGGCAGCCAGCATTTGAATCAGAACTACACACATCATTGCTGTCACAGAGCAACCAGACTTGTGACCRCTGCCATCCTTCCAAACTCCAGTGTGCTCCCAGTACTCCCAGAGARGCCAAATTTATCATTCTTACAGCTTTGGAACTGAGAAGAGATCGATGTAGTCAAGAATATTGAATTATTTCACTGGAAGCAGCAGTTTGGGGGCAAATTACATCATTTCTAGACAAAACATCACACACTTCKGCCAAAAGACTGCCTCTCTGATCCACGGTGTTTGAAAGCTCCCAAAGCAGAAGAATGAGGCACGTTCACAGCACATGACAGGTAGCCCTAACTCTTTTTCCATCCCTGAAAGCCAGAGAGAACACCRCACATTTTCCACGCAAAGCCTCGAGACAATTCCGTTTCCTGAAACCACATTCTCAAGGAGAGAAAGCTGCCAGTGCTGTTCCAGAACAAAAACCCGTTCAGTGCTGAGGTCAAACCCCCACACCACCCCCTGAGCACCCTGTGGGAACACAGGCACTGACACAGCTCCTTACCTTGTCCTGYTGCTGGGAACACAAACACCGACTGGACCAGCCCGTGCAGCTCTGAGGCAATCKCAGCCCTTTGATGAGAGCTGTGCAGTCCTAAACCAGCCCAGAGTCCTTGTCGCCAAGCCTCCCGCGCTAGGAGCCAAATAAAAAGCAGTTTCTGGTTTTCTGCAGCCTAGGGAAGCTGGCAGCTCATTCCTGGAGGGAAAGGACCCTTTCCAGAGCTCTCAGCTGCTCCCATTCTGCTCCTCTCTGGAACAAACCTGAAGCTCCTCTGAGCAACTCTGCCATGCTGATGCCTCAAAGCCATGGGCAGTACCAAACAAGCAGATTTTATATCAAAATAAGTAACTCTTCAGGAATGCAGTGTGCTTAGTCATTTCCATCTCGATAGAAAGCTACTCTAACCACGAGGTATTAACTCCTTCCGTGCTGCTGCAGCTCCTGCTGAGGAACAGTTCTGCCTCATTAAATTCACAGCCACAGCCCTTGGACAYAGAAAAATGTGCTGCTAATCCAAATTACACAAAAAAGGAGGCTAAATCTGGCCTCTGCCATGGGTCTTAAGTCTTTTGTACTGAGTGGCTTTTTCTAAAATGTTGAAATTCAACTTCTTGAAAGTAAGTTTTCACTGGAGATATAAAAAAACCCCAAAGCAGAACACATCCAACATATAAGCCCTGAAGGCTTCTACAGCAGAGGGCACATGGACAGAACCCACAACGTACTATTTTTAAAAGTTGTGGGGTTTTAACCTGACTCACACTATCTGAATGCCCAGGGTAGCAATACTGACAACAGCAGTTGACTCAGCCCGGGCTGCCTGCCAGCCCCAGGAACAGCGCAGCTGCACACAAGGACTGAGACCCAAGCTGGGCACAGAGTTAAACATCAAACACGAATTATCCTGGAGCAATTCCTTGGTGCCACCATCAGAGGTGAGATTCCAAAGTAAAGTCGCCAAGCCTGTGTGGCTTTACCCCAGACAGGCTGTGTGGGGCCACAACCAAGCACTCATTCCTTTGGGGAAGTCTCACAGCACCAAGGCAGCTGCCCCAGGAGGTTCAAAGGGTGCCGACCGAGGCAGCACCAGAAAACCACTCAGACATCATCCAGATAACGCTGCACCCTGAGTCACATCCCTATTATATTGTATTATTATTATTACAGGAAGACTGAGATAAACGTTTTGCCAAGCAGCAATGGACAGCACTAGGACTCAAGGTCAGATCCAGGGCACATCCAGGTCAGATCCTCCAGYCACCACTGCCCAAGCACACATTTTCAGGGGTTGGTTTTCCTGCAACTGCTCTTCTGCTTTCCTTCCATCACTCGCTGATGCCAGCCCCAGCTGACAGGAGGAATTGCTCCATCACTGCCTGGGCTCTATCCCAGCCAGGTGAAGAGGAACAGAGGGGTGTGTATGCAGTGAACTGGGGTCCCGTGCACCCAAAGAGCTCTGTAACCACTCCGACCCATTCACCCCAATGCGACAAAGCACAAATATCCAGCGACGCCTAAGCCACCACAGCCTAGCAGTGCSTAATTCACCCTGGAGACGCTGTACAGAATCACTGAAGGCGGGACACCCTCTGGAGGTGCGACCTTCTCTGCTCAGGCAGGGGCACCTACAGCAGGACGGCTTTTGGTGATCCCCGAAGAGGATTTGCGACACCCCTGGGCAGTCCGCGCTCCATCGCCCTGACCGGGACAAGCGCTCCCCGACCCCAAGGGACCCTGCCGTGTGTCCGGCTGTGCCCATCACCGGATCCTCCCGGCAGGCACCTTGACGAGCGAGGCAGACGAACCCACCACAGCCCCGGCCCCCCTTCCGAGCTGGGTCTCCTCCAGGGCAGCTGGAGCGGGCACCTGCTTCCCCCGGCCCGTCCGACACGGGGAAGATGCTGCACCGCCCGCTGCCYGGAGCTGGGACAAGGGGGACCCCTCGGGGCCGGCAGCCCGGAGCCCGGCGACTGCGGGAAGTCCCAAACCCCCCRGGCCACCCGCCCGTCCTCCCGGGGCTACCCCCGCCCCGTTCCACCGCCCCCCGTCCCGGCTCACCGCGGCCCCGGCCCGCTCCCGGCCCCGCTCCSTCAGGACGCTCCCGGCGCGCACGGAACCCCCTCCCATTGGCTGCTGTAGCCATCACTCAAGCGGAGATACCGCCTTAGCCCCGCCCCAGAGCGCCAGAAACCGTTTTCCGTTGGTTGAGGCGGACGTCACTCATAAGGAGACCCCGCCCCCGCCGCGCCCTGTCCCGGCTTCGGCCCGCTCCGGCGGGACGCTCCGGCGCTCACGGAGCCGTCGCCCATTGGTTCTTTTAGCCGTCACTCAAGCCCAGATCCCGCCCTTACCCCGCCCCTGAGCGTACAGAYCCACAGCCCATTGGCTGAGGCGGCCGCCACTCAGGTGATGGTCCCGCCCCCTTTCCCTCAGGGCGCTCGGAGCTGCTTCACAGACGGGATTTTACTGCGCTCCCCGGCGCCCTCAGAGTCCGGCACGGCACRGCCCGGCGCTGCCCCGGCCCCGCGGTCCGGCCCCCCGCCTATTCGTTCTTCAGCCCTTCGGCGATGAGGTTGAGCTCGTAGCACCAGGTCTCGTAGCGATAGGCCACGCGGATCTGGGCCACGTTCGTCTTCCGGATGTCGTTGCCTTCGGGCCCCTCTTCCCGGTAGTTTTCACCCAGGAACTTCACTTTCTCCTGCCAGAGGCAAAGACAGCGGTACCGAGCTCAGAACCCCCGTTGGCAGTGCCCGAGGGAGAGGCCCTGAGCCCRTGGGCGGAGCTGATCGCCCTTCTCAGGCCGTGAGTAGGAACACCGCAGGGGACACAGGCATCGTGGGACAGGCCACACTGCAGAACACCCAGCTCGTGGGATAGGACATCCCTCATGGGACAGGACACACTGCAGGACACCCAGGTCATGGGACAGGCCACACCATACAGAACAGCCAGCTCGTGGGACAGGCCACACTGCAGGACAACCAACTCATGGGACATCCCTCATGGCACGGGACACACTGCAGGACACCCAGCTCGTGGGACAGGACATCCCTCATGGGACAGGACACACTGCAGGACACCCAGCTCGTGGGACAGGACACACTGGAGGACACCCAGCTCGTGGGACAGGCCACACCATACAGAATAGCCAGCTCATGGGACAGGACACCCCCTTCGTGGCACAGAGCCCCTCTTTTGGGACAGGACACACACCTCATGGGTCAGGACAGCCCTCGTGGCACAGGGCACCCACCTCGTGGGACAGGCCGCACTGCAGGACGCTGTTCCTGGCAATCTCACACATGTCACAGGTGCTGAGCTTGAACACCTGGGCAGCGATGGCGTATTCCTCCATGAGGGGCTCCTGCAGTGCAGGGTTAGGGGTCAGCAGCCTCTGCCAGCACAGCTTGTGCTGCCCAGGGGCCGTCCCAGAGCTCACAGAACCACTGAAATGCAACCTTCAACCAACACCCCCATGCCCACTAAACCATATCACAAGGGACTATGTTTTCTTATTTTCTAAAAACTTCCAGGGGTGATGACTCCACCACTGCCCTGGATAGCCTGTTCCGATGCTTGACCACTGTTTCATTGAAGAAATTGTTCCTGATATCTTACTTGAACCTCTGTGRGTGGAGGGGGAGATAGACCAGCATATGCTGGACTCTCTGCAGGTGCCACTGGCTTCCAAAAAAACTGAGGCTCACACAGTCCCAGCCCCACAGTCCCAGCCCCAGCACTCAGCTCACACTGTACCTTGGTGTAGTGAAACTGCATGGGATCGTCTGTAGAAAGGGACACCATGAGCCCTTTCTGGTGGAAGTCAGGCAAGGGATTCTTGGCGTATTCCAAGAAGAGGCTGTTGTTGCTGAGCGGGGACATGGCAATGGGAATTTGGGCAAGGAAGTACAGATACTGCAACACTGGGGTCTGCAAAGACAAGCAGAGGTACCAGGTTAGGGATAAAGTTGCTGGACCTTCCACCTCTTTGGGGTCATTCTTCAGGTCAGGCCCCAGCATGGAATTGTGTGCAAGGAAAGACAGGTAGGCCAGCAATCTGTCCTTCAGGGAGCGACAGTCCAAGGAGCTCAAACCTGTTTTATATCAGAACTCAGCTGGCTCCAGTGGTACCAAGCATTTTCTGTGATAAGTCTGTAAGGCTATACCCCAAAAATCTAACACATTTCTGAACCACATCCCCAAACATGCCTGGAGAAACCCAGAGAACCATTTAACATCTGCCCAAAGCCAGCTTGTGTCTGTAAAGCAGAGGCACAGGTAACTGCCAGCTACATGGGGGCAGCTGTGAACACTTCTCCTTCTCTGCCATGCCTGGGCTGCTCCTGGCAGCCTGCTCCACGTACCTTCTTGAGGTTGAGCCCGTGGGAGATGTTGTCAGCTGTCATGAAGGCTGCCAGCAGATGTGTGATGGCCCCGGCCTCGCCGCAGTGCGGCCGGAACAGGAACGTGTTCATCCCGCGCTGCCTGGGCACAGGGAAGGAGCACTCAGGGCAGGCAAAGCCCTGACTGCAGGCCCAGCTCTGCCCCTGCCATGAGTCCCCAAGAATCCAGCTTGGCCTAGGAGCACATTGCTCATTGTCTTTTCTCCTCTGTGCCCGCAATAGCTGCATCTCTGCAATCCCTAAGCTTTCCCCCAGTCCATCACTCTTCCTACCRAGGGGTGTCTGGGTTGCTCTGAGATGTGATGCTCCAAATGCAGAGCAAGGAGAGCCCTGCTGCTTCCACACCAACAGTCAAAGAGCTCAGACAAGCCACGAGGCAGCCCCTTGGCAGATCCCAGGCCTCACCTGCGCAGGTTGTTCAGCACCAGGATGTTGGCATACATGTAGTAGATGTAGTAGGTGTAGGATGGGTTCTTTGGAGAAGACCATTCCTCTGGCTTAGGGCTTTTAGTGCTGAACATGTGTCCACTGTGCTTGGATTCATCATCCACGCTGTCAAAGCCCGTGATCTGCTTGGCAAGGGGACACAAAAGGTGCATCTCACACCCCCCACCTCATCCCTGCCCCACAGAGCTCACCAGAGCCTGGCTGTACCCCTGTGCACCTAAGAGCAGGGTCAGGCAGGGCTGGAGACCTTGCTCATCACAGCCCTCCCAAGCACTGTCCAAGACAAGGAACAAAGCTCACACCTC